AGGATAAAATCTTTGAAAATGGCGAAATTTCCAAGATCAAACAATTGGGAGCAAGTCATAATTTTGTATGTGTGAATTCGATTCATATTCACACCATTCATATATGGTTATAACTTTAATTTATAGAGATACAAATAGCGAAATGAAGGTCGGTCCAGATTAGCGGGGAATTTACCAAAATGTCTCTTACCTTCATTGTTGACGTAATCAAATCGCCCATTGGTGTAGTTGGACGAACTGGATAGACAGTAAACGATGGTGTTGTTCGAGGTTTGGCCAGTTTTGCTGTGGTCGCCGATAGGAATGTACTGAACGTGGCCGCAGTGGATTTCTCTAAAAAAATGAATGCAAGTCAAATTTGTACCTATGAACAGCTTTAAAAAGAAGTTTAAAAGAAAACAGACAAACATTCATACAAAGAGATGCACATGCATGCACACGGTCTGCGAACGCAAATCACACACCACATATGGCGACCGTCTGGCGATCTTTTGATTGTCGACGGCTGGTGTGGGTTCATAAATCACGTTTATTGGCGGTTAATTATGGGGACTATGGAAGAGTTTTTCAAAAGAAATGCCACATTTGAGATTGGATTCAGGTCTAATGGATGGGGGAAATATCTCGTTTTCAAAACTATCAATCTAAATACGAAATATTGAAAAGGAGCTACAGGAGATTCAGAATCACCCTCAAAAAATTGATGATCGATCGAAAGGCTAAAAGAAGTAGAAGTCCTCTGAGTAAATGCAAGTTTAGTGTAAGCATTTTGTGACAGAGGCCTTTTCAAAAATAGATTACGCTTAACAAAAAATCAAAATTTACTTATTATCCATAGAACTTCTACATTCCAAGATTAGTCGGTTAAAAACTTATGTTATGGAGGAATGTGTCTCTCAAACCATTTCTACGAATTCTCTAAACAAGGCCTCTCATAATTACAACAAAAATCAGCCATAACATCACTCAAACATAAAATTCCTTTCATAGGGGAAAATTTTGTTAAGCCATGTGGAATTGTATAGCTAGCCTACATAACAATTTCCCATGCAAAACCATTGCCCCGTGAAATTTTCTCACTTTGCGGAAGTGCTGTATTTTTGAGAATTCAGTGGAAATATGATATGATAATAAAGTAAGAGAACTAAAGCGAAAGAGTAAAAGAGTAGGAGCGATGATTGTTATGGATGCACTATTACATCTACGCATTTAGAACTTCAAGTTCTAAAATTTGCGTAAATTTCAATAAATTCAAAGAGAAGTGCCATCTAAGAG